TACCAGCCATGGATAATTGTGTTTTCGTAAATTTACCATTATTTTTTTTTATTCACGCATCGTTTCGTATAGAGATGGTAGATAACATTTAAATTAACTTACTCCAGTGAAGCCAAATCTAACTTCATATAATTTAATCTAACCTAACCTTATCATATATCACACCTTATCCTAACTCAATCTAATCTAACCAGGCTTAACTTAATCCAACATAACCTAACTTGACAATACGTTAGCACCAATTCATAATATCTTTAACATTTTCATTTTAACCTTCTGTCCGAAACGACCCACAACCTGTGCAAGAAACGACCGCTATGCCCATGTGTGAAACGACCTGTGTAGGAAACGACCAGCAACCCCCCATCTCCTTGTCAGACTCAGTTGGTGTTATTCCCGCTTTTGCATATCGTTACACACACACACACACACACACACACACACACACACACATATAAGTAAAGCTGAAAATTGCCTTTAAGATTTGGGCTGATTCCATTCCTCTCTCTTGCTGAGCCAATTGCAAAATGAACTAATTTCACATTACTACAGAGGTCTTTTAATCTGGTGGGCGCTTGCGTGTATTTGCATATTATTGTGTGTTTTGCACACTTTCATTACCTGCAAACTCTAAAAGGAAAATTTGAATGTCCCAAAAAGGTTTGCACTGTCCTCACTAAATTCTTCAGGGAAAACTTTCATTAGCAAGACCACGTTAACTTGCTCTCTTTTTGCTGTACGCTTAATATGCTAATTTTTTAAGCAAACTCCTAATTGAAATTAGAATCACTCTGTTTCAGGGCCGTGTTACTAAATTAGGCTCCCATACAGACCACTAAAATTATTTTATCTTAAAATCTATATACAGCTTTGATAATTAACAAACAAGGCAAGAAAATATAGACAGTTAATACATGAAGAATTAGATACAAAAGTAGGAAGTATTATTACCATAGACTGTCTCTTTAATATTGTATTACCTCTCGACCATACTAATCACCGTGACCTTGATAATCCTCTTTACCTCAGCGCTGATCCCTCTCCCTCTGGCAACATAACCTTAATCTTGGCCATAATAACATGCCTTTAGATCCTCTTCATTATATATCGATTCCCTCGGTTCCCAAAATAACAAGACCCTTTATACAGACTTTCACTAACTTGTTGTGTCATGGCCTCGAGAAGGACGTAAACACAGCCCCTTACAGCCTCTGTTGACGTCACTTACCATAGGAAGAAGTGATTCATTCTACAGAAAATTGTCGATGGGAAAGGGGAAGAAAATGTGAACGCGTTAAGGGGAATCGGTAATTAATCTTCATCCTAAAATAAACTTCAAGTAAAATAGTGATTAGCACAGTGAATGTTGGTAGTCCTAGAGTGGATAATTAGGGTGGGGTAATTAGAGAGAAAGTGAAATCACTACCGCCAGTTGAGAAGTAGTGAGGTGTGCATTTACGGTAACACAGGATATATGTCACTGGTGCTTTAGGAGTGAATCTGGTCATCTCGGTGTCTGTCACGATTCTCAGTGACAGACGCAAGATCTTTGTAAACGAATCTAAATTTAATTGTTTATTTCATTTTTTTATGAACAAAATTATTGACTATGTACACACATGCACATATATACATTTTCTGTATGTGTGTCTGTGTGTTTCTTATACATTTCCATAGTTTTCAAGACAGACCTTAAATTTGGTAATGATGTGCGGGTGGCATAGGATAGGAGATGACTGTACACGACCCCCCCCCCGCGAGTTGGTCCACAATTTTCATTAGGTAAAGAAGCTGTACAGTCCTTCTGAGGAGACAAGTAGCAAGGAACACTTTCTACCAAACCACAAATTTTTGCGACGCCATGTTCTCGAGATCAAGTTGTAAACGTGTTTTACGTGATCATGTTTGACCTTAATCCCTTCTCCTCCAAAGGCAATTTTCTTCCAGGAAAATGTCTCGAGGCATCCGATATGAGAGATGGTCTGAATAGCTGAAAGCATTTGACTGATAGTATTCACGCATTAACGAAATACATTAATTTATTTAACAGATATAATGTAACAACTACACTCCAGGTAATAAACACAAGAGCACAGCTTCCCAAGTTCACCCTCTCACCATCACCGCCGCTCCTGCTCCCGGCGCCGCCGCCGCCGCCGCCGCTGTTGAGTCTCGACCTCGAGAAAGCAATAACGCAATTACCGTATGGCGGCCCCGCGTCGGGCACTCTTGAGGGATTAAGCCAGTGTTGCACGCAGTCTCAGACCTTCTGGTGCCCTGTGATAAGAGTGGCTTTTGTCCGCAAAGCAGGAAGACGGAGGCCGTGCTCCCTGACTGCCACATTTGATGTCATATCCGCAGGTGAGGAGGCGGAGTTGGGTGACAGGAAGAGTGGAGAAGGTGGTACAGGGAAAGACGGAGAGGGAAAGGAGAAAAAATGCAAATAATTGAAAAAAGGAGCCAAGAGAAAGAAGATTCTGAATGAAGAGTAAGGATGGTTTAGGGAGGGACAGAAAAGGTTCCTCCACGTCCCCAACCACTTAGAAAATTCGACATTACTGCAGGAACTGGTTAGGTAATCATGAGAGCCGACAGTGAGTTGCTGCCGCCAGAGGATGATCATAATATGCAATTCGCTAAGCACCTTAAGATGACGTTCATATATATAATAAACTTTTAGTCAGCAGAAGGCGATACGTTTACGAAGTGTGTCTGTTCGAGGCGAAAAACGAGTTTGAAAATCATAATGAATGAATGATTCCAACACATAACAATACAGCACAACATAACATTTCCCAGAACCCGTATAGTGTGACAGCGAGGGTTGTTATAGAGACTATGAATATCGTTAAGTCAATTCTGATTTTTTTTTTGTATATATAGTCCGCTATCTCCTGCTGTCCAAGGTTTGTGAGAGTTATCCTACAACACCATTATTTTTTGTTGTGGTTCTTCAGGGGTCAATATGAAGCCGAATAGAACATGAACACATTTATAAACTTACCTCTAGCACTAAACGCGAATTTTGTGAGAGAAAATATGTGTTCCTGTATGTTTGTGGACGTTTATATATACGTCATGCTTAATTATGTTTGCCTGCGTACATAGTGAGTGTATTCATTGTCTCAGTTTATGTTCGTGTGTATGTGTATGGTCCCGAGTGTCTATGGATAGGTTTTAATACACAAATAACAGTGGAGGCCGAAGTAGGTGGAGGAGTAGCACCGGATAATAAAAGAGTGGAGGTGGTGGCCGGAGGGAGAGATCAAACATTGCCTCTTGAGTCACTTGGGACGCTTCTTGAGTCATGTATTGTACCTCTGCCGGGACACACACACACACACACACACAAGAAGACCAGAGAGAGAGGATATTTGACGGGAGGACGGAAAGAAGATTACGAAGAACAGTGAGCGGGAATGGAAAAAACAGGAAAAGAGGAAAGAGAGAGTACGAAGATAAAGAGACAAGGAAGGAACTGTGGGAGAGATAAAGAAAGAAAGTGAGAAAGTCAGACAATGTGACACAAAGTAAGATAGTTCTTAATTAGATAGTTTTCCTTAATGATGTTTCTCACGATATTCTAACGTAATTAATCCTAATTATTGTTATATATGTGAAGATATCCGCATAATTATTTTTTTCTATAAATAAAAACTAATTACGGTTCATGTTATGTATAATGATAGTATTCAAAAGGTCCATCGTTAAGGAGAGAACTTGTGTTTAATGGGGAAATTGTGTGTGTGTGTGTGTGTGTGTGTTTTATTTTTGTTTATTTATTTTGAATCTATGATAAGCAGTTAATTGTGTCCGTCTGTCATTTTTTCCTTTATCTATTTTGTTTTATTAAATATTACCCCTTTCTCTTTTATATAATTTTTGTCATATCTTTACTTTCTAAACTTTTCTGTTCTTTTATCTTTTCTTGGTTGACTTCATTCGTTTCTTATATTTTTTTCTTCTTTACTAATCATTGCCAGCAGATTTACTCACTAATGAAATCATATGAGTAAACAGTGAAGAGTTATGACCATAATCTGTACCCTGAGGTGAACGACTGTATAGTATCTGTTTCCCTAATACTTAAATCATAACAAAAGACCAAAGACCCAACACCTCGGACGCAATCTTATAAAAATAGGAAACATCTAATTCAAGGAACTTATCTATAATATTTCAGCAAAGATTACCTGATATTTTTTTATCGAGTTGAAAATGTAAAAAAAAAAAAAATACAAACTGTCAGGTCCTGGTGAACGTCTGGCCATAGGATCAATCCAATCAGATGGATTTTGTGGATATATATGTATATATATATATATATGTGTATATGTATATATTCTGTATATACCAAGAACGTGTGAGCCAGACGAATTTAAATGGAGGGAACCCCAAAAAAATCGGGGGTTAAAAACGCGTTAACTTTTATTAGACAAAAAATGGAGCGACAGTGAGGAAAGTTATTAAGCTGTAAAGTTTTGTCAGATTTCGCGTTTGTTTGTGTGTGTGTGTGTGTGTGTGTGTGTGTGTGTGTGTGTGTGTGTGTGTGTGTGTGTGTGTGTGTGTGTGTGTGTGTGTGTGTGTGTGTGTGTGTGTGTGTGTGTGTGTGTGTGTGTGTGTGTGTGTGTGTGTTTGTGTGTGTGTGTGTGTGTGTGTGTGTGTGTGTGTGTGTGTGTGTGTGTGTGTGTGTGTGTTCTGGAAATTTGATGAAAGACTCTGTGTTTCGTGACGACAGGGCGAGTCTTCCTAGACCTGACAGGGTGAGTGTGTTGGGCCTAGCGTGATCCCTCGTACTTAAGCGAGGCAAGATGGCCGTTTAGGACAGCCTTGGTGGTAAAGCTTCATCATATTTTTACTAGAGTCTTAAATGTGGGACTCTCGTGATATCTGGGTTTTCAAGGGTGGCTTTCCCTAGGGTGGCTTTCCCTAGGGTGGCTTTCCCTAGGGTGGCTTTCCCTATGGTGGCTTTGTTAGGGGTAGCTTTCCTGGGAGTAGCACTATTGTGAGTAATTCTGTTGCGTATTTTTGTCAAGGATGGCTTTGTCAAATATGGCTTTGTTAGGGATGGCTTTATTTATGGTGGCTTTCTTAGGGATGGCATTATTTAGGATGGCTTTGGTGATGATGGCTTTATCGAAGATGGCTTTCTCAAGAATGACTTTGTCAAGGATGGCATTGTTGAGAATGACTTTGTTGCGGATGGCTTTATTTAGGATGGCTTTGTTGGGGATGGCTTTGTTTGGGATGGCTTTGTTTGGGATGGCTTTGTTGATGATGGCTTTATTGACGATGTCTTTGTCGAGGATGGCTTTCTTGACGATGGCTTTCTTGACGATGACTTTGTTGAGGATAACTTTGTTGAGGATGGCTTTGTTAAGGACGACTTTGTCAAATACGGCATTGTTAAGAATGACTTTGTTGGGATGGCTTTATTTAGGATGGCTTTGTTGATGATGGCTTTTTCAAGAATGGCTTTGCCAAGGATGGCTTTCTTGACGATGGCTTTGTTGGGGATGGCTTTATTGTTGATGATAACTTTATTGGGGATGGCTTTGTCGAGGATGGCTTTGTTGACAATGGCTTTGTCGAGAATGGCTTTGTCGAGAATGGCTTTGTCGACGATGACTCTGTTGACGATGGCTTTGTTGACGATGACTTTGTTTCGTGTCGTCATTCTCGTCTTTGTTGACATGTGTTGCTGGAGTTCCTCTTGTTGTTTATCCCCTCACGTAGTGGACAAGAGGACAAGGGTTATTGGCTTCTGTGTGTGTGTGTGTGTGTGTGTGTGTCTGTGTCTGTGTCTGTGTGTGTGTGAAAACAAGATCTCTCAAATTATTACCTATTTTCACGAAACTTAACGAAGGGATTGGTCAATGAAGGTGGTTATTGACATCGTTAAACCTCACTTGAAAACATTCCGTCATGATACGAACAATATTTTCAGTACCGTTAGGAAAGGCGTGTACCCCCTGGGCTGACAAAACTCACCAAAAGAGGCTTCTAGTTTTCCTCTTGTCCTCAGACGTCCTCAGCCACATCCTCTCAGCTATAACAGGCAATTCTCGGTCTTTCCTCTTTTCTCTTCCCTCTTTTTCGTCAGATTCTCACTTTTTTTTTTTTAATCTTCCACTCTTTTTCCACTTACGTTCCGACGCCCTCATTCGCGTCCTCTCAACTATAACAGGCAATTGTCGTTCTCTTCTTTACCCTCCTTCGTTTTTTCCTTCCAAATTCTCACTTCATTCTTCAATCATCTACTGTTACTCAATTCTCGTTCTCTCCTTGACACTCCTCCGTTGTTTATTTTCCTCCAAATTCTTTCTCTCTTCGTTCTTCACTCCCCCAATCTCATCTTCATCTCTCACTGCTTCCTCCTATACCCTCAGTGCCCTCCCCCCCCTCCAGCATCACAAACCCTCTCCTGCCATTCCTCACGTCTTCCATCAGCCTTTCACTCTCCCTCCATCAGGATACAGCTCTCTCTCTCTCTCTCTCTCTCTCTCTCTCTCTCTCACCACGCTTTAGAGAGCTGTATCTAATATTCCTGGTTTGTTCCTTTGTTTTATTCCCACCTTTTATCTTAAGATTTTGTGTTGGTTTATTAGTCTCTTGTAGGTTTTTATCGTTCTATGGAATTTTTTCCTTTTTTGTCTTAAAGAAAACATCCATTTTTATACCCGTTGATAATTTTTTTTCTTCAGTTTTATTACATCACTATTTTAATCATATTGTTGTTAGTTATTTGTGTCTCTGTGTGTTGTATTTTTGTTGTTGTTGTATGAATGAAGAGAAATGATTTTAATTTTAACTCTTTGTCGACGTTCTGTTATCATTCTTCATTATTAGATTTTTCAGTTTATCATTCTTTCATTCTCAGTGCTAAAAGAAGGATCTCAGCTTCTCTCAACAATTGATAGTTACACAGCATTATCCTTGTTGGCTCCACCTATTTCTGATTCCTCTATTACAAACGAGAGAAAAACAATACCAAGGTAACCCATGCCAAGTCGAGCCAGTACAGGTTAAACCATTGTGAATCAGGGTAAAGCCACTAGGCCTCCTCCTCCTCCTCCCCCTCTTCTTCTCCTCCTCCTCTTCTTTTTCTCCCCCGCCTCCCCCTCCTCCTCCGCCTTTCACACTGTCGGCTCACCTGCCTCCAAATACCTCCAAATCAGCCTCCCTACAATCATTGCGGCTGCCTTTCAGGATGTCTAATTTGACACCTTATACCACCACCACCTGCTTTGTTAGACTCCCCCGGCAGGAGGAACTTTTATCCCCGGATTAATATTACCCTCGAGATTATTATATTGTAGTCGTCTGGCTGATAAGTTTTTCATATTTTCCTTCATATTTTATTGCCTCTCTGGAGTTCATATTTCCAGAAGCAAATATTAGAGGATTGAATCTTCTCTGGTAGCCTATCAAAATCGGTGTTACTGGGAAGTGTGTATGTATATATGTAAACACACACACACACACACACACACACATGTACACAGTCATTAGGCGTGGAGGTAGGTACTGGTGTTGGCGTGGTCAGTAATCTGATAGTCACACTCACAGTGAAGAGCTTGTGCTTGACTTTCTGCTCGTAACACCTGTAACCCTGTCTCGTAACATCTGTGTTCTTGCTCGTAGCATCTGTCTTTATTCGTAACATCTGCGTCCTTGCTTGACAACATCTGTGTACTTGCTTGTAACATCTGCGTCCTTGCTCTGCGTCCTTGCTCGTAACATCTGTGTCCTTGCTCGTAACATCTGCGTCCTTGCTTCTAATACCTGAGAACATAAGGTCATACACACGACACATGTTCATTTACACAAAATACAAGGCTCATGTACACAACACAAGGTCATGTACACAACACAAGGTCATGTACACAACACAAGGTCATGTACACAACAAGAAGGTCATAATTATACACAACGTCATCAGGTTAGGCACTGGGAACAGATCCTTAAAAGGTGTTCTAATTTTCTAACGAATCTAGAGCAATTCTGAAATAGGTTTTGTACATCCTCTCCTAAATTATAGTTTACGTCTTGTGAGCAGCGTAATCATGGTGTATATCCGCGACTCTGGGACGCTGGCGAGTGGTGGGGGAGGGGGGTGTTGCATGTTACGCGGTCATCACGGGCGGGCCACGAGTTCCGAGCTTCCTGTGTTGTGGTGCTTGTAATCACCGATAGGTATAATGTATTGATTACCGACCCGCTCTCTCTCCCTCTCTCTCTCTCTCTCTCATATCAAACAGGAACTCTACCTTGCTCTAACATACACAGGAACTACAAGCAAGCACCACAAACCTACATAACTTATCGCTCTTAGAAAAAAAAAACACGTGAAAATAATTGCAATGTTTTTTTTTTAATATATATAGAGAGTTCCCCCTTAAGAATGATGTCAGCTTCCTTAACAGAATGTCATCTTGTATTCGGGAACGTTGATGTGTGTGTGTGTGTGTGTGTGTGTGTGAGAGTTGAGGTGTCGTGTGTGTGTGTGTGTGTGTGTGTGTGTGGGTGTGAAAGTTAAGGTGATCTGCTGGTGTGAGAATTACGACAGCCTGGCAACAGTGCTGACATGTGAAGGTAGCCAATTAGTATCGACCGAGGGGGGAGGGGAGGGGAAAGGAAGGGAAACTCAGTGCCTTTCCCCCCCAAGCCTCCTCTTCCTCCTCTCAACCAGCCTCCTCTCTTTCTCTTCTCTACATCTCCCCCATCCTCTTTACCACCCTCTTCCTCCTCTTCCACTCTTCAGCCTTGTTATTACCTCTCTCTCTCTCTCTCTCTCTCTCTTTCTCTCGTTTTTCTTCTCATCATATTTTTTTTCGGCATTCTCTTTATCTCCCACATTTAACATCCTCTGTTTCTCTGACTTATCAATCTCATTTTTTTCCTCTCCTCTACCCCTTATATTTTTATCCCACTTTCTTCACCATTCCTTCCACTTTTATCTTCTCCACCATTAACTGCATTTTTTCTCTCTTTCTTTACTATTTCCCTTTCTTCTCCTCTTTCCTCTCCTTTCCTTCCTTCCTTCCTTCCTTCCTTCCTTCCTTCCTTCCTTCCTTCCTTCCTTCCTTCCTTCCTTCCTTCCTTCCTCTCCACTCTAATCCTCTTTTTCATCATCACGCTTGTTTCCCTGGGCAGCTTCACCACCTTTGAGAGATACTTTAATTACCTGCCGCAGCTCGGGTCTCTCAGCGGTGTCTGTGTGTTTGTGTGTGAGTCCGTATGGTAACTCATGGACGGGTGATGGTAGGGTGATGGTGGTAGTGTGATGGTAGGGTGATGGTAGGGTGATGGTGTGGTGATGGTAGGGTCATCAAACACTGTCATGTTAGTCGTAACCTAACCTCACCTGACCTCAATACGTTCATTTCTATACACTCATCTTGACTCTACAGCAACGCTAAATGACCAGTGTACTAACTAGTAGACTCTCTGAAGTGTGACTGTCCCGCCGTGGCTCCATGTTTACCTAAGCCTGTCAACAATTATATATCCAAGTGAGAATAGTGTTTCACTGTAACGCTCCTGTAATATACCCAGTTACATACATACATACATACATACATACATACATACATACATACATACATACATACATACGTACGGGGGAGGGCGCCATGGGGAGGAGGAATATTAAACTGTGTGTGTGTGTGAAGTGTGTGAAGTGTGTTTAGGACCAATATGTGAAGTGTGTGTATGGCCAGTTAGTGAAGTGTGTTGAAGTGCAAGGTGTACACTGGGTCATGGTGTAATGTTAGAGTCATCATTAAGGAACATATTCACTATTACATCAGTTATATATCTACAGTGGGTTTTTTAATTACGTTTAAATAAATACAAATTGATCGCGTTATATGTACCTGATGTCATGATTTCCATCCATAAAATCTTATATCGTTAAGTTTTTTTTATGAGAATCCTTCTTCTGCGGTTTACAAGTATTGGGAAAAACATTTCGTGTAATTTCCCTAAGGAGGCAACATTTTTCCTCCGCCCCCGCCTGGCTGGAGCGGTCAGTGCCATCTGTTGTTTATATATTTGTTTGTTTCTGTATCGGACGATAACACGATTACAAATACGGGGAGGATCACCAAATTTAACGTACAAATGCAACTTACTGTTATCCGATTGAGGAATAAATTTATAATAAAGAATTTAAAGTGAATCTCAGATATCGGGCCGTGGCACCCACGAGACCAAGCTTACAATAATAGTTCATTATGTTCTATGTTGGAGTGTTTTAACTGTTCCTCCGCAGACAAGAGTCAAGAAGCAGTTAGTATGATCTCAAAAAGCCTTATATGAAGATTACATTATGTTCAGGTCCGTAAAGCCTTTGGGTGTAGTGACCTGAAAACCCTTTACCAAGAAGGGCATTTAATTTTATATTGGTGTATTTAATATATCAAAATAACATATTAAAAAAATATTGTAAATATTGAACTTGGGTAAAATCCTGGACGTCAATTAATATATAAATTTTTACACAAAACACAAAGGTGTCTCACAAAGATGAAAACAATAACTACTTTTTTCCTGTGTGTTTTGTTCGAGTTGTGAAACGCGAGTGTCCCATTTTCATAATTAGTTAAAACACTTAAAAACTTCACCGTTTTAAACAATAGTCCACTTTAAGACAACACAAACACAACATTTTGT